AAGGGAATGTGTTCCTGACATCAGCAATGAGTTTTTTCCTAGATGCCCGGCACCGAAGAGCTAATAGGCATCAGGAACAGTCTCGCAAGTACAGGAGGTAATTGCACTCAGCTGGTGGTAATTAGGCTCCTCTCCAGACTATAAAAAGAACTGCTTGTATACACGCCCTTTTGCAGAAGTCAAATGCAGGAACTAAAGTCAGAGAACATTATTGTGAGCTTGTTAGACTGGATTGCCGCCATGGCTTATCTGTGTTGGATTGCTGCCAAGGCTTATCTGTGCCGGTTTGCTGCCAAGGACCTGTCTGTCTGTTAATTAAATGCCGTAACTTATCTTTGGCTCAGAGTGTGTGTTGGTGTGGGACGAGGGGGATCAGAACAGGTAGGTAGGTAGGTAGGTAGGTAGGTAGGTAGATAGATGATAGATAGATAGATAGATAGATGATAGATAGTGACAGAAAGAGAAAGAGAGAAAGAATGAGAGACAGAGAGAGAGAGACAAAAAGAGAGATATGAGACAGAGATAGATAGCAATAGCCCTTAAATTTTTGTACCACTTCACAGTGATTTCCAGCCCTCACTAAGCAGTTTACAGAGTCAGCCTCTTGCCCCCAACAATCTGGGTCCTGAGTTTGCTGACCTGGGAAGGAGGGGAGGCTGAGTCGGCTTGAGTCGGTGAGAATCGAACTGCAGGCAGTGGGCAGAGTCAGCATTGTAGCATTGCCAACTGAAGCAAAACTGGGGTAGCGTGTGGATTAAAATCAGGACAAATGCCACACCATCGTCCCCTGGAACCGGGCAGATTGGCCCTTCAGCCTGGACCTGCATTGCTTGCTCAGCGGCGCCCCCTGGGGTTACCTTGGTGTGGGACTGCTGTCGCTGCCCTTACAGGAGCCGGAGTTGCTGCTGCTGCTGAGCGAAGATGTGCCGTAGGTGTCGCGCATACTGACGGGCGGGGAGGGGCGCCTGGAGGCAGGAAGAAGAGGCTGTTTCTCAGTCGGAGTGGCTGGGGCCGTTGCAGACTTAAAGTGGGAGGCTGAGCCACTCCTTCCGTAAAACTCACGGCTTCCACAACCCGAGGGAACACAAATGCACAAGACAGGAGAAGAGAATCAAGGTAAAAAGCAGGGCCATACAAGAAGGGGAGAAGGGAAGAGGGGGGAAGATCACAATGCAAGGGGGCAAAAGCGTATCTACCAGTAGCAACAGCAGGACCAAGGGGTGCATATATATAGGGGTGGATGTAAGGTGGTGGTCTATAGATCCCTTCCCCCTTCTTGCCCTCCTTAACTCAGTTCTCCCCCAATTGGGCATCTTCAGATATGTGGACCGACTCCCAGAACTCTCAGTGATGGCCATGCATGTTATGTATGATAAATTAAGTTATCATACAGAAGAAAGAAAATCAAATTACTAATATTGAAGTTATCACATGCGGAAGAAAGAAAATCAAAGTACTAATAATGAAGTTATCACATATGGAAGAAAGAAAATCAAACTAACAATAATTAAGTTCACATACGGAAGAAAGAAAATCAAAGTACCAATAATGAAGTTATCACATACGGAAGATAAAAAATCAAAGTACTAATAATTAAGTTAACTCATGCGGAAGAAAGAAAATCAAAGTACTAATAATGAAGTTATCACATACGGAAGAAAGAAAATCAAACTACCAATAATGAAGTTATTTCATGCGGAAGAAAGAAAATCAAACGACTAATAATGAAGTTATCTCATGCGGAAGAAAGAAAATCAAAGTACCAATAATGAAGTTATCACATACGGAAGAAAGAAAATCATTTCACCAATAATTATCACATATGGAACAAAGAAAATCAAACTATCAATAATTAAGTTATCACATTCGGAAGAAAAAAAAATCAAATTTCCAATATCACAATGCCTACATGAAATCTACAGAGTGACCCATCCTTAGAATACCAATGATTGTTCTTACTGGTCATTGGGTCCCAAAAAGGTGATTTGTAACACTCTTTGGGAATGGTGCAAAAAAAAAAAGGGAAGCTAACACAGTGATGTGGGGAGAATCCCTTGATATTTAAGGAAGTTGATGGGGAAAATGGCTAACAAAAGCAGTGGAACTTGTTGGAGAAGTTTCAGATCATTGGGTAAAGCCATAAAATAAAGTTTTTCTTTCCAGGCTAAGCAATCTTACGCAAAACACAAAAAGGATGAGAAAATTAAAGGTAGACATTAAGAAAGAGCAGAAAAGGTAACCACGGTAGTTTATACTATACCCTTTGACACAAATCATTTTCTTTTTTTTGTCCTTGTCAATCATGCCCATCTGCTTCATCATGCCCATCTATCACAATGTTTTCGAACCATAGCAACTTTAAGATGAGCCTAACCCACCTCACAGGGTTGTTATGGGGGAAAATAGGAGTAAGTAGGAGGAAATATCATGTATGTTTGCCGTCTTCGGTTATTTACAAAAATAACAAAGGCAGGTAAATAAATAAAAATAATGAAGTAAAATAAAAATAAAATAAAAATAAAGTAAAATAAAAAAATAATTTATAAAAAAAGATAAAGGCAGGTAAATAAATAAAATAATGAAGTAAAATAAAAATAAAGTAAAATAAAATAAAAATAAGGTAAAATAAAAAAGTAAAATAAAATAAAAATAAAGTAAAATAAAGGCAGTTATTTATAAAAATAATAAAGGCAAGTAAATAAAAATAATGAAGCAAAATAAAAATAACGTAAAATAAAAATAAAGTAAAATAAAAAATAATTTATAAAAATAATAAAGGCAGGTAAATAAATAAAAATAATGAAGTAAAATAAAATAAAGTAAAATAAAATAAAAATAAAGTAAAGTAAAATAAAAAAGTAAAATAAAATAAAGTAAAATAAAGTACCCTGNTAGATAGATAGATAGATAGATAGATAGATAGATAGATAGATAGATAGATAGATAGATAGATAATAAATAGGTGGATGAGATAGAGAGGAGAAAGAGTCAGATGAGAGAGAGAGAATAGATGGATGAGAGAGAGAAGAGAGAGAGAGAGAGAGAGAGAGAGAGAGAGAGAGATGAGAGGCAATAAATAGATGGGTGAGAAAGAGGAGAGAGAGAGAGAGATGATAGATAATAGGTGAATGAGAGAGAGATGATAGAGATAGATAGATACATACATACATAGATACATAGATAGATAAGATAGACAGACAGACAGGCATGTTACCCATTTATGTTATTTTATTGTTAGCTGCCCTTAGAGCAGACAATAAAGGGGAATTTTACAGAATTACATTAACCAGGCTGTGCAGCTTATGGAAAGTCGCTGTAGCCCTCCGGATCAGTTAACGATCCACATTTGCCAGCCTCTGTCTCCCGCAGTTATACTCACCTGCCTTCTTATGGGGTCAGAGCATTTTAACAAGGTGCTGTTTGCACGCCAGGCCAGGCAAAGGCAGTCTGGGACAAAGAAGAGAAATGGGAACGGAAGACGATTGGGAGGAATTTGTTGCAGCTTCGGCTGCTGTACCTGTGTCAGAAGCGCTGAGGCGCTTCCAGTGTTGTGATCTGAGAGCAGAGCTGGTGGCAGACTCGGACGATGAGGAGGTTGGGGAGGAGCTTGGGCCTGTCCTGGAGTCTGGCGAAGGCTCTGATGGATATTCTGCATCGGATGCAAAGATAGAGCTGGGACCATCCGACATTTCCCAGCCACCTTTGGAGGCTGATATGAGTGAGGAGGAAGAACAGATGTGGCCTGATCCAGATGCACATATGTGCAAAGCAGTTAGGACAGGTGAACAACCGAGGGCAAGGAGTCGACTTGGGAAGCAAAGCACACATGGAAGTTGAATAGTCCCTCCCTGGCTGGGGAATAAATAGAAGGAAAGGGGTGGTCATAGGAGACAACAGTTCGTATTTCTGAACATCTTGCTAATTGTGTTTCGTGCCACAGTGACTGCTTGCCAGAACTTAAATTTGCAGCCTTTCGGCTGGGAGCTCACGACCTGGCAATAATCGCAAGGCACTGATAAGATCTGTACTGCAGTTAACTCCTTGAAGGACTCTTGGCCGGACTTTTCGGTGGGTGAATGCAATTAATTCACAAGAGGGGTTTTTCGCGAGAAGAAGTCTGTTTCTTGCTTCTGCCTAAGGCTGGTTCAAAACATCCGGGTTGAAAGGATTAGCCAGTGAAATCACCGTTGCTCGGGGGATGCCCAGCTCCGTTCATGCTCCTGGCAGGAGAATGGAGCAAAGGATGGGAGCTCACCCCATCTGTTGACAACACTCAGGTCTCGAACGCGAGCTTGCAAACCTGAACCCAGCAGCCTAACCCGTTTACCCCTTGGTTAAAAACTTTTTCTCTTTTTTTTTTCTTCTTAACCCTCCAGGAGTTTGAGAAGAGGAAAATGCTATGAGAAAAGAATCTTTAAAACGGTCGGGATGCCAATGCAAATAAAATAAAAATAAAATAAATCACACACTCTTCACTTCCCTCCAGCACGCCCTGTATTCTCCGCGTACTCCTGTTCATTTGTCGGAATACAGCAGCGCTCCGTCTTCACAAAGTCAAAATGTTAACGCCGCCAGGGTTGATTTTGGTGGGTTCTTTGATTTCATACGTGATTGTGCATCTATCGTCAATAAATCAAATCTACTACTACGGAAATCCGATTCTTTGAACCATGGATGCCCGGTACCCGTTTTCCTTGCATTACCTAAACGGGGGATTTAGGGGGAAAAAAAAATCCAGTACCTAAACTGTTCAGAAGTTTTACCAACTGCTAAAATTTATATGCTAATGTTGCTTTTTTTGTTAGCGTTTGGTTTTTTTTTTTTAATGCTTTGCGTTCGGCTTGCAGTTGTGCCTGATACAGAGAGCTTTGCTTCCTGTTGTTTGCTTCACCTATTAGTCCTCAAAACAATTTTTTGGAAGTATACATTTTCCTTCGCTAATTTTCTTTTTCCAAGTTGGTGTTAAAATTCTGGGCCAGAGTGAAAATTGTGGACTCGATTGTAATAAGAGGTGAAACTACAAGTGCAGTTCATATTTTGAATTGAAGCGTTATATTCAAAATCCAAATTTTTGCAAAAGCACCTTTAAAAAAAAAAATTAATCTATATACAGCAATGCTTAATCTTACAAAATAAACTTTTAACGCCACCAGAGTTGATTTGGGTGGTTCTTAGGTAGGTAGGTGAAATTTTCCTAAATGAATGAGGGGGGAAAGAAATATGAAAAGGCTATTTTTTTATATTCGTGGACTTGAAAAAGTTTAAATAAAGGAAATCTGATCCTTTCGTTCCTTTCTCTGTTGAGCCAAGCCGTACTTCTATGGGATGTTTACATGTCCTTAAATATTACGTAACAGTTTGTTCGGTTCAAATTTTGCATGTCGAATTCCCAGTGTTGATTTCAGGATGCAGATTAATCTCCGCGTAACCCGTGTCATCCTTCTACTGATAGCATCTTCCATAATAAACATTTTCCCGTCAACTTCTCTGAATTCCAACTTCCTCCTTTGTTTCTGCCTAAGAAAAATCTCTGCCAATAGCAGGGCCAAAAAATCGAAACTTTACATCGTGTTCAGTGTTAAAATGATTGACCTACAGATCCACCATACCTTTGCCAAATGCTCTACAGCAGGGGTGTCAAACTCTTTTTTTTAAAATAGTTTTTATGAAACAGTTTTACCATTAAAAACAGAAAGAAAAATACAACAAAAACAAAATAAAAAAACAAGACATACATAACAATATAGAGCAGTGGTTCTCAACCTGTGGGTCAGGACCCCTTTGGGAGGGGGGGGGCGATGTCGAACGACCCTTTCACAGGGGTCGCCTAAGGCAGTGTTTCCCAACCTTGGCAACTTGAAGATGTCCGGACTTCAACTTCCAGAATTCCCCAGCCAGCGAACGCTGGCTGGGGAATTCTGGGAGTTGAGGTCCAGACATCTTCAAGTTGCCAAGGTTGGGAAACACTGGCCTAAGGCCATCGGAAAACACATTTTTTGAAAAAAACACGGAAAAGAAAATAATTTTATGCTTGGCGGGGTCACCACAACATGCGGAACTGTATTT